CCCCCCCCCAAGATAGAACTAAAATGGTGTTCAGGAAACAATAAAACATCGTCACAAATGTTCCATGCTGACCCTAATTTGCTTGGAGACAGACTCATCCTCATCTGCTCAACATCTGCTCAATTGAGCCAAGGAGGAAAATTGTAGACCGTCATGTTTTGTATCGAGTGGCAAGTATTAGTTTTAGAATTTAAAAATCACTTATGTTTCGCTCCCTTTACATAGATTTTAAAGAAACGAGATCTAGCGAGGATCACGGGATTTAGTTTAAAGGTAAAGGGTACGAATAAGTTAAACTATATTATTATATAACTGTCATTTTTCCCTCACGCTGATTGGTCAAAACACCTCTTATAGGTCTAAATATATTGCGATGTTACCCCGAAACCTACAGAATCCGTGCACGGCCTCGGGAAATATCACCTTCTCGGGTTAATAAATCCTCGTATTCACCTGAAAATAGGTCAATAATTGAATAATATCACCAATGCCATTATTGTAAATATCCGTTTAAGACCTTTTCAAAGAAATGTTTCATACCATTAACATGTTGCCATGCATTTGACGAAATTGTAATTGTTCGAAATGTGGATGCTAGAAAATAGAAGTGAATACAGAAAACAACAAAACTGCAGGTGTCGAACGTTACACTACACAGTCTACACTTCATCAGTGTGGCCTCACATCATTCAAAGGAGTGCCCAATGAACGGGCCACATAAAGCATATACAAATATCGACAAGGGGAGAATACTTAGAATTAAAAACCTCAGAGTGGAACTCTTCTGCGCGATTAAAACTGATGCAGTACTACCTACCTTTAAAGTTAAGATAATTATTCATTTTATCAAACGTTAAACTAAACAATACACAAGTCTACGTTGTGTGAAAAGTATTACACAGTATGATTAAATGAGAGCATGATAAAATTATTTCGCAGTTATTCACGTGCGGAGTCGATTGCGATTTCAACATCGGTATCTCATTTGGTAGGTTGGCAAGCTTATACTAACTGGCTTTGTTCCGACAAACTTTCGCTCACTAAACCTTAATATTACGACTGATTATAAGCGCAATCAATCTTGTTTTTCATATTAGAAGGACAAAATCATTGAATGGTATTTGTAAATCGTTCATGACATATTATGATCGTGAAGTAAAATGGATTATGATGTGATTTTGACGTTCGTGAAGAATCTGAGTCATTAATACAAACTCATTTGATTAATTATATTACAAAAGACCGGCATTACGTCTTTTAAACGAAAGATAAGATAATGTAATGTGATGTGTTAAAACATTTTTGCATTTAGCTTCACGCGTGTTAGAGTTGGAATTGCGAGAGCGCATCGCTCCGATTTGTCAATAGTATTATTGACCGTCGATGACCTGGGTATAGATTGTCCGTTGTACGTTCGTCAATAGATCACATTGGATGTGTCCATACAATTGATATATACCAGTAGTGTATGTCCGACAGTCCATTTCATTGCACGTCAGTGAACAATTCATCGATGTTCGTAAAAGATGAGAAAACATGTTAATAGATGAATGCACCGGTAAGGAAACAATGCGCAAACACATAAACTTGTTACGTCATGTAAACATGAGTCTGACAGTAATTTTGTCATGGAGTGCTCGTATCAATCAAATTGTGATTTTCAATGATGTTCCTGGGAGAATAAATTTATGTACTTGGTTATCGATTGTAAATTTATTTAAATCTAGTTAATGTTATTATTGATGTACAGTGCACAATGCTGCTTAAGGAAAATGCACATTTTTTATTGAGCAATATTTGAATTGGATATAAAATTCATTATCATGCATGGTTCATACATTTTCTGTATTGTAATTGTCAATTCAGAAAATTAAATATACATTTAAAGAATGAAAATGAAATATTTAAAGTAATATTGATCAATAATTTATCTGTTTTATTAAATGTTATTGTTGACGTAAAATTGTTTAGAAAATGTAAATACTGATATCGTATGGTCTAATTGGTCGAGTCGTTAACACTCCGGCCTTCCACGCAGGGGTTCGATCCTCAAAGTCGTCGTGCGCCTGGATATTTAGAGAAAGTGTTTTTCTCCTGCCCACACAACTCCAACAACCCAGGTGGAGTATAAAATGGTCTGGGTCGATGTTGTGGTATCTGTGCTGTAGCATTCAAGTGAGGTAGCACTATAAAAGGATACCGCTTGAAGCACGGTCCCACTACAAACAGAACACAAACATCTCCAGCACACACGCAGGCATACACACATAGGGGGATATGAGCCAGGTGGCATAGGACTAGTAGTTAGCGGCTGATAAGGCAGCTCCTACGAATTCCTCAAAAGTATATTGATTAATGTATATGCTGATTGTATTAATTGTATATCTATGTACTGTAAAGCGCTTTAGAGTGGCCTATGTTAGCTAATTAGGGCGCCATATCAAATTATATTATTATTATTATAATGATAGTGTTCAAAAATGTTTATTGTAATATACATTCATAATATTTTATTAAACTTAAATATTGATGCATTTTGTTGAAGGATATGCAATTGATGTTATTGATGTGCACTGTTTAAGGTAAAAGGTACCACTCTATCAGTTTAAACGGTGATGAGTTTCCCTCAGAGACTCGGAGTATCATCCATTCTATATAGTGGAGGAAGCAACCAAAATGAGATTTCTCTCTATTTCACAATAGCTTCCCTGCCATGTTGTTTTTCATTTGCATTGTAGCTCATGGGTGGGACGATTCCTGTCTGGCAACATGGCTTAGTAATGTAAAAGTTTCAAGTTATACATTCCTGCAGTTTTGTTATTTTCTTTATCATGTCTATTTTCAAAGATTTAAAGTTCGAACAACAACAGTTTTGTCAAGTGCATGGCAAGATGTGATTTAAATAAAATATTTCTTTTGAAAAGTTTTTAAATGATTATTTTACAATAGTGGCAGTGGTGATAACCTTTACCTGAAGGACATGTACTAATTCATGAAGAATGATATGCAAATAATGTACATTTGAAAAAATATAATGTAATCATAAATATATAATGATAGTAAGAAAAGGAAATGTAATTATTTATGTATAATTTAATCGTGATTATAACAAGCATTTTCACTGGCTTAAAAATGTATGTTATCAGCCCACAACGTAAAAAAATGACGTCAACGTTTGTAACGTCGCTTTTGATTGGCTGATACAGCAGCGCAATAATTTCTAAGAGAAAAGAGTCCATCAATAAAAGTGTATTTCCACAGGGATTGTGTATAGTAGATTAAATTATAAGGATTAACTTGAATATATGTTTCCTGTTATGGAGTTATAACACAAAAAAACGGAGTGTACTCTCATCATAAACCGCTTCGCAGTTTATTTAGAGTACACTCCGATATTTTGTGTTATTTAAGGAATGATTTTTATTTTTTCAACATTTATGAGGTCATAACAACAATGGGTTTATGGACATTTTGAATGAATCGCGTTAGCCATTCATGTAAAATATGTCCAAAAACCCATTGTTGTTATGAACTCATAAATGTTGAAAAAATAAATATTATTCCTTATATTTACATTGACGAATCCTTTCAGTGGATCGATATAACAACGAATAAAACAAATCAACAGGGTTTGTTCCTGCTTATACACGGGTGCAACACAGTGGCCAGAACAGTTTTTTTTCGCGGGGAAATGTTACACTATCGTGAGAGATCTTAGCACCCGTCAACAACAATAACACAACAAAATGTAGTTCCATATTCAATGTTTATTTGTAGCACAGGACACGTGAATACGTGGATATTTCACCAAGCACAGTTCAATAATATTTTAAGATGTAAGAATTAAGCATCTAGGTCGGTCGTTCCGAGTGAGTTGTTTTTGTAGTGTATTATTACGCAGTGTGATCAGGTTACTATCAGTTCCCACGTGCTGAGATTCTATGAACACCTGTGTTATGCATTTATGAATGTAATTTTTGTCAATGGGTCTAAGCATACAGAATGTAAATATATCTCCATAACATGAAAAATATATTCAAGTTAATCCTTAAATATAACTTACAGAAATGCGAATAGGAAAGTATGAAAAATTTATTGTTTAAGAATATGCAAATATTGATGTACGTTGTCCAAAGAAAAAATAACTATTCGAGTGAAAATGTATTTTTTAAGGAAAAGTTATAATTGATGCATAATGATTAAGGGAATGCAAAAATTAGTGTATACTAATTGTGTATAATAATAGTGTATAATAATAGTGTAA